TGAAATAAAACTACTATAAAAATAATTATAAGATAATGTTCTGATGTTTCTTTTTGGTAAGTAAAATTTTGAAATAGACAATTTGACACCATTCCCCAATAATTCGAAATCACATTTTTTCTAAAAAAGACACTTTATTCTGGTCTTAAAAACTTAATTAATTTTAAATTAATTGTAATTTACGATTTTTGGTCGCATTGTAATTGAAAAAAGTAGTTTATTTGAGTTGACAAAAGAGTGACGTCACTTGCTTGTAGTGCCATACAAAATCTATGGGAGAGTTTCGTTTTGACAGTTTTAAAAAGTACGTCAACTGATTGGTGGTGTCAACATGGCTATTACTTAATTTTAAATACCTTTAATTATTTTAATAAGTAGGACTGTATTACAAGTTGCCTTACACATGCTATTCATTATTTTACATTCAATCTATGTTTTGGAACTAATTTAAAGTTAAAATTAGTTTTAAATGTCTGATAAGTAGCCTAAGTCTAATGACTAAAAGACTGGACTTTTCAAAGACAAATAATTAGCTAAAAACTGTCTGAGGTAAATAATTAAAGTCTAGCCCAAAATAAATACTCATAAATCACTTACTAATTACTATACATTTTGTGTATGTATGTATGTACTTGTACAACATATTTAACTAGCAGCCGCACGCGACTTCGTACGCGTGGACCCGTTTTATTAGGGGTTGAATTTAGGAAAATCGCGTCTTAGTGAGCACCTACGCACGTTCTAAAAGGAACCCCCATGCAAAATTTGAGACTTCTAGCACTTGTTGTTTCTGAGATTTCGTGATGAACGAGCCCTTTCGCTTTTAACCATCGCTGTACGAAGTGGGGTGTGACACACCCCAGTCCTTTAAAAATAGCCACAATTTTAAAAATTTGCAAATGCTGAATTTGAAATTCTCAGTAGCTGGAATTATGACACTGCTGCTTCGATCAGCGTTGCAAAATCAGTCCAGCGGTGACTACCAACTGAGTTACATGCCTTTAAAGTGCGTGTGGGTGTCACACACCCCACCTGGTACGGGACGTTGTTAAAAAGTTTTAAAAAAATCTAACAGTTTTGGTGTAATTTATATATTTTTAGCTTTGTCAATTGAATAAAATTCAATACAAATATTATTTTTCGTGATTTTTACGGTATCTGAAATTTTCAAGCACTTTTAGTCAAATGAGATGACTTTTAGTGCGAATCTGGAAGTTTAGTACTGAGATCCGAAGATGTATGTGAACATACACTTATGGGCTACAATTTATACTTGGTGATACAATTTATGGGCTACTGAAATGGAATAACATATTTTATAAATAAATAAAATTGTTACGCTCCCATTTTATGCATTGAGCATACTCATTTTCTTTCATCAGAATTGTGGTAAATTGAAAACCGATGATCAAAACAAATTTATACATTGTTAACTGTTTAAGTATTATTTAGTTTGAAGTTTAATTGTTATTGATTTAAGACCTTGTGTAAAGACACTTAATGTGCAATAAAAAATTGAATTTGAAATAAAACTAACTGAATATTATAATATTTACGATAACCAATTACCTGGATGTGAGATGTTCCGTTTTAAAGATAAGTGTTTCTTTAAAACGGAAAACAAAATATGCATTAAAAATAAATAGAAACCTATTATAAGTTTTTATTTACATTCAAGGATTAAAGAAAGTTATAGCCAGATCTTACAATAATTGTTTTAAGCCACAAATATTCCTTAACTCTTTGCTAATTAATTCAATAACATATTGTTTAAATAAGTTCCGAATAAATTAAATACCTATTAAATAAGTAAAATTCGAAAGCAACTGTATGATTTTGTATTTCTCGCCCTAACTAGCTAAACTAATATCATGAGATTTACACTCATAATATCAACAATAATTGTAGAAAGGGCTACTTTTTTCTCGGGAAATTGCATAGTTACCTCGGAATGTGCGATAGCAATTTTGTGACCCGAGCGGGCAATCGCTAGTTCAAATTTTACACGAAGCCTCATATAATATTTTGTAGCGATTCTTTATTGGGTTTCAAATTGACTTAAATGCGACGTTGCCAAACGAGCGCTACGAATGCTGGTAATAAGCAATACTCAATCCTAATTGCTTTACATAGAGCTTGGTTTGCTAGGGCAAACATCTACAGTGGTGCGCCGACGCTGCTTAGACCCGAAATATGAATGAACGGGGGCGGAGCAAAATCGAGCGTGTGTGTGCAAACAATTTAGGCCCTTAAGGTGTCAAGGCGTTCGAGTCCCCGATAGTACCTAGATGATTTGGTATGCTATAAATTACTGAGATATTATTGTGATAAAAAAACATAAATCATAATATCCATTGCTTACATGACAAGGTGACAGAAATTACATGAGACGTACGCGTGGACCCCGTTTTACTCCTTCAGGGGTGGAGTTTCGTAAAATTCTTTCTTAGCGGATGTTTACACCCCATAAGGAACCTACCTGCCAATTTCAAGTTTGCAGGTGTTATAGTTTCGGAGATTCCGTGATTAATCAGTGAGTGGCGTATTACATATTGACATAAATACGGTGTCATAATTTATATTAATCATTAAAAATTACTTTAAGTGAATTAGCAAAATACAGTCATCTTATTATATTTTGTTCCTAATCCTTAAAATTAGTCTAGTATCAAAATTTTTCCAATAGACACTAAAATCTAGCCCCAAAATGGCGGCTTATAAACCGGCTCAAACTGCTTTGAACCAGTTCAGACTGGCTGCGGTTGATTTTCTGTTCGTGCAAGTTTAAAATCTATTACGGGAAAACGGCTTAGCCCGCAATATGGGCGGATATTACCGGTAATATACCGGTTTTACCGATAAAATACCGGTATTGATGGTAATAACGGAAAATGAGGCGTCGGCTTAGGTTTTGGAGATGGAAAATCTGGGATTTGATAGGTGTTTAGGGACAAAGACACGGCTTTTTTACCTTTATTTACTACCATTACCTACCTAAGTGTTTTGTGAGGCACTGTAACGCCCGTATTCACAAACGATGCTTGCTTAAGTGAAGCAGCAAATTGAACGCACAGCGTTGAATAGAGCTCTGTGATTGGTTCGTGTGTCACCCTGTGCGTTCACGCGCACTGTGAGAACTCATAGTAATGTTTGTGAATACGGGCGTAAGATCTCTAGGTAGTCAGAAAATACATGTTTATCAAAAATAGCATCTATTTATTATAGCGTACCGGAAAACGTGTGACTTCCACCCACAAGGTGGAACGACGACATCAGTAGCCACAGAAGGCGCTGGATGCAGGTCGTTAGCGTTACCAACCGGGCAACATGGAAATCATTGGAGGATGCCTATGTTCAGCAGTGGACGTCCTATGGCTGAAATGATGATGATGATGATGAACGCCCATAAGATTTTTCGCCCAATTGAAAGATACCATATTGTTTAACATAATAATATTATAATTATGGTAAAGTTTCCAAAGGAAACACAATAAAGTTTCGGTGCTACAAGCGAGCAAAGCCACGAGCTGAAGCTAATAAATAAAAAAATTGCTAATCATAACAAAAGCGTAACTGAATTAAAAATTACAACGAAATGAAAGAATACACTTTAGGACTAGGGCCGTCTTTGCACAGCCACTGTACTTGTAAGGGGTCGGGCTTGTTCACGAGCGGCAGCGGTAGCGGGAGCGGGAGCGAGTTGACTGAAAATATTAAACTTAGAAGAGTTAAGCACATCAGACTACATATTTTTGTTGAAAAATCACCCCTAATAAAACTACGAAAGATACCAAAGTTTTTGTATTTTGTGGTGTCACAGAAAGACTATCGCGCTCGTACCCTGCCGCGCATCCTAGCGCCGTGATAAAATCTTATCGATGATTTCAGACTACATGGGCTTATTGCGTAAAATCGATAAAATGACGTGATAAACGGTAATCGCGGCCTGCATCCTAGGCTTACTGGTTTCAAAATCTGAGATAAAAAAATCATAAATGTTTTTCCTTGGACGAGAACAGGAGCTGATCCTACATCGCTTCCAAATGACAAATCTATTCCATTTGAGCTCTTCTATCTAGTCTTGACGGGAATACTTCGAGTTACCACTAACCCTGTAATATACGTTTTATCACCCGCTTTTCTATTTCTAATACATCCGCACCCTTACCCAAGACAGCTTATACAAATACTTGCGTTGAGGAGAATTATATTTTTTCACAAAATTTGCCTTAAGCATATAAAATGAGTAGCTACGGGCGTTCGGTGTTTTTGAGTCGTTTTACCCTACTGTGTATTTAAAAGAGCGTAATGTTTTTTTGGGTGTTGTTGTTGGANTTTAGCATGTCAGAGGCAGAAATCGCCTTATCAGAAAGCGGAAGTTTCTTCACAAATCGAAGACAATATACAATTGAGCGGAGCAAAACGAGCCACGAGGAAACTCGCTCGGACAATAAAAGAAGCGGATGTGACTGTGGGGAGTCTTCAGAAACTGCCGCCAACACTACCTTTGTCTCGGGCAAATCTGCGGGAAGAGAATCAGCGGGAATGGCAGAAATTGGCCATTCAGTGATGTCGTTACAAAGCCATGAGGGGCCAGTGAACCATTCAGTATAGTCCAGAATTTGTGCAGGAGACAAACCACGCGACAAGCAATCGCTAATGTTTTGGTTTCCTGGCACATGATAAAAATGATGAGCGGGAAGCGAATTTAATATTTTTGTTACGCGAGTAGCGATAAAAGTTTTAAATTTATGCGGTGAACCGTGAACCCAATGAAGAGCGACCATAGAGTCGGAAAGACAAAATATTTGACTGATATTATGTCGCGGCTGTATTACGTTAATAATATTTCGAACAAGCTTCGACATCAGAAGAATGCCGCAGAGCTCAAGTCTCGCCACGGATTGAGTTTGAAGCGGGGCTACCTTGGATTTAGCACACACGAGCTTAACGAGAGGAGCGCGAGCATCGTGTGACGCGTCTTCAGAGCGTATTGCCACAAATCATGGGATGTCGTGTCTACTGCTGGCGACGCCACTATGGTACACTCCTGTTCCACAGTACTGGCGTTGTCTGACACCGTGTCGAGTTGATAAACACCGTTGATTTGAGTACCAGTAGCTAGAATTTCATCACCATTGTAAATAATACAAGAATTTCTGTCAAATTTGACAACATAACCCTTTTTTGTCAAAGCACTGACAGATAATAAATTAGTACTTAAGTTAGGTACGTAATAAGTTTCACTTAGTGTCCTTACACAGTCTTTTAAACGAACCTGAACTTCACCTAAGCCCGCGGTCGATAGCATTTCACCGTTTGCAATGCTCACTTTAAAAACCTTATTACGATCGCACTTCACCATCACTTTTTCACTATTACACATGTGGTTTGTGGCCCCAGAGTCTATGTACCACACGTCACTTTTCACCTTCACGGAGAGTGCCGACAGATTAGCCTTGTTCTTCTTCCATGGCTTCTTCTGCTGTTTCTGACTCTTTGGCTCGTCCCCGGAGGTCTGTTCTTTGGACGTTGAACTCCTTTTTGGACAGTTCCGCAGCATGTGTCCTCTGGCACCACACCCGAAGCACTTTGGGTTCTTCTGTGTAATCAGTGCCGTTTCTTCAGTTTTCTCTTCCCGTCTTTGGGTTTCCTGAAGTAATTTAGTCGAGATGACTTCCGTACTTAGCTTGGAAGATGAGTGCTCAATCGCCATGATGAGCGGGTCGTAATCATCTGTGAGCCCACTCAGTATGATCACCGCAACGAGTTCATCGTCCAGCGGCGATTCAATTTCACTTAGTTGATGTGAAATTTCTTTTATTTTGTTCAGGTAAACTTCCATTGAGCTACACTCAGATAATTTCGTATTGAAGAGACTCCGCAGCAAGCCCAATCTCCTGCTCAGACCACGTCCCTCATACGTTTTCTGCAGTATTGTCCACGCTTCGTGGGCACTTTTGGCAGTGCGTATATGCGGAATTACGGTCGGCGCCACGGACAGCGCGATGCGCGCTAAGGCCTTATCATCCTTCTTCTTGTTGTCCTCGTCGGCCACCGCTTCTACGCAGTCCCACAACTCTTCATGGATTAGCACCATTCGCATCGAGAACTTCCACGTGGAGTAATTTTCTGCCCCCTTTAGTCTCTCAATGCAATTCTGACCGATTCCCATCGAAGCCATCTTGAATACCGTTCGCCGCTTCCGGTACGGTAATAATTCCAAGTGCGCGATGTATGACCAATTTCGCGGAAATATGGGTGCTTTTCACTTCTTGCAACCACGCTCTGCTACCATGTTGGAGTTTGGAGCGTAAGAAGGAAAAGACCACGAAGATTACCACGGATTTATTTTAGAACATACAGCACACAGAGACTACATGAGATCGAGTGACTGATCCAGAAGTCTGGAAACCTTACATTGACAGCGGAGTGCCAAATTCAAATATTCAAATATGCTTGCGTTTAACCAAAAAGTTTCTAACTTTCCAACAGTTGTAACTAAAGGTTTTCTTCTAGACTAGAATAACATTTACCAGAGAAATACTTAGAAGTAATTTATAAATACACAAAGAAATGGGTGGATTAAGGGTGTATCTAAAACTAGCTATTGCCCGCGGCTTCACTTCAGGTGGTCCACAGACAATCTAATTTGACATTTATTGTTTTAATTTGGCTTGTTATTTCAATATTGTTATAAAAGCCTATTTGCATGTTTTAAAAAATATAATATTTATAGTCTGATAAGCTTGTGTTTATCATAAAAATATATTTAACTACGCATGAAAAACTTTAAATTAATGAGTCAGTAAAATTACTATGTAATGTACTAACTCGATAAACCAACTTAATTGAGTTTAAACTGTACATTAATTAAGCAATAAAAATTAAAATTGTCTGTTTTAATTAAAATTCTGATAACAAAAGAGCAAACTTAAAATTAGTTAAACAATTTTATCGATATAATTTTTATCGACAATAGCCCCTCACTATCGCCTAGATCACGCGCGCGTAATGAAATAAGTCGCGTAGTTCTTTCACGACTCGATCTTGCGACTTACGACCGTAGTTGACAACCTACCAAGCTGTCAGGTAATAGTTGTAATATTCCTGTAATTTTGTTGGTTTTGTTACTTACTATGTATCAGACAATCTGTAAGGCCCAGAACAGACGGTGAATCGCAACTGCAACGAAACTGCAATTTTCTGATGATTCTTATGAATGAAACTGAAACTGAAAGTTTCAAACTGGTTGCGTCATGTGTGGTCTCTCAAGGGACGCTATGCCAGAAACTTAGATGCAACTCAAAAGTAACTAGCAGTCTCAGTTTCGTTGCAGTTGCGTTTCACCGTCTGTTCTGGGCCTAAATCCTATACCGATATAACAAGGCTATAAATCTATTGCACCATCTTCCTTTAGCTATAACGCCAAGTCTGTCAAAGTCCATACAAAAACACTGGCTAAATTTTAGTTACGGTTTGAATTAAGGTGATAAAACTCAGCCTTAGTATAGAGATGATTTCACCCTGAAGAAATTACCAATACTTATTTCAGAAACTCTAAATAACTCAGAAACATAACTATGTGTCAAACTGAGAACCTCCTTTTTTGAAGTCCGTTGAATTACAACTTTAAAGGGCTGAAATTCGGGATGTTCGTTTAAATAATTAGAATGAGGGTTTTCGCGAATGAAAGATTCGCTAGATGGCGGGACGTGGATGTGGGGTCTGACTGCTGCTTTATTGGTGGATTTTGACATATCTGTCAATGTCATGTCAAAAATAACCAATCATGCAGCATTTGGACCTCGCGTCTACGTATTGCCATCTGGCGGATTTTTCATTCGCGAAATTTTGCGCATCGTTACAAAATACTAGCTTTAAAAGAACAGTGTTTCTTATCAGACTGTGTGTATTGGACACAATAAATTCTATTTACATTCGTCCCATTAAATATTTACCATGACATACCTACTGCCAGACGTGAAAAAATATTGATATACGTTTCATTCTGACATTGAAGAGGGCATGCAAGATGGAGTGAGTTTGTTAGACACGACGCCACATTTGAAATAGGTTAAGAAACATGTTCCAGACTATATTCATTGTGATAACACTAACAAAATTGATTATTCAAGTTAAAATTACAATAATTAACAATAATAGTTTTTACTCACATTAGTATTTTTTTTTGTTTTATAAAATATATCATAAAGTCGAATGTATTTCAAATTGCGTGTATTACTTAGGTACTCTTTCTCGCAAAAACTTTTGGCCGTATTTTGATGAAATCAGACTGTGTGTTTAAGGACAGTTTGACTTGACAATACGCTAATTACGATGTGACAATGTAATTAATAGTTGATTGCAACTCAACAAACTCAACCTCAACAAACGATTTATCGACAACCGATATTTTATCGACACCTCGCCATCCTTACAAAGATCACGTATCGCTCGCATCGACATATTCTGAATACAATTTATGTATCTTGCATTTGTGTGACGACCGTACTTGTTATGCTCTTTGTTTTGGGCTTTATGTACACTCTATAAGGTTGAATATTTGACGACACTCATACTAAAATCGATCTAATATCGTTTCTTTGTAATAAGTGCAATTTTAGTGAAGGGACATCACACAAAACTGTCTTTCAGTAAGAGCACAAACACTGGGTTAGACTAGGCCACAGACTTTTTGTTGGCCGATGTGGTTTGTTGGTCGATTCTTCATCACTACATCTAGAGAAAAGCCGGGAAATTCCATTGCAACCGTGCGAGGCCGGGGCGGGCCAAACTATCGGCCGATTTGTAATCTGGGGAGTCACTATCCATTTAGGCTTTATTAATAAAGTCCAGTACGGACCACCTCCAGTTAGTCTTATTACTAAAAGCCCAAAACTAAAAGCCGAAACGATAGAACTTAAAGCTGTAAGCTCGCGGGGCTACGTATCACTTACGCTCGTCAAAGCGTTATTTGCATGTATAATTTGATAACAGAGCCTTGGCGATTTTGGCTAAGTTTCTTGAAAACATACGGGTGAGAATTGCGGAAAAAAACGCTGCGACTTTTTTGAGCTGGGTTCTTAGAAAATGATGCCCACTTTTCTTAAGGTGTTTTTAAAAGTAACTTTTTGAAGTTGTCAGGTCATTGAGTCGTTGTTAGCAGGTCTTCTGTCGATTGCTTTTTATATGTTGTATTAGTATAGCATTGAACTATCAAAATTCTAAATACAGACTACTACTTACCTAGTATCTTAGTTTTCATAAAATACGGCTTGCTCACAGACCGAGAAGGCACACAAGTAGTTGGGTTTTGTTTGTTGCATCCTTTCAGTGTAACCTATACTCTACTCGGTAGAATTCATAAGTGCGTCATTTCAAGCATAGGGGTTTGTATGAAGGCGTTTGGGGGGTTATGTTATAGTAATGTTTGTTAATACGGGTGATAGACCAATCACAGGACGATGACTGTAACTGAGATCGAACCGGGTTTTGAGCGTTCTTTTATAATTAAACTTGTTGAAAAATAACTCCGCTGGCCCGCCCGCAATCCCGTCCCGTGTGTTTCCACCTCACAGCCGGGAACTCGCGCCGTCCCCCGGGTTGCTCGGCCTCCCAGCTCCGTTAATTTGATTATATACATATGGGTCAGGCAGAAGTTATCTGAACCTGGCACCTCGGGGAGTTGGTATCAGCGACCAAGCCTTGAGGACGCTGTAAATTTTCAGACTTACAACTGTAGGAGAAGAGACTATCTATTTTGTGGAATTTTTGCAGCAGTAATGTTTCAACCACACCTCGCCATCGCCGGCTCGATCATAAATGACAGGTCGCGTGAACTGTCATGGGTCGCTCGACCTGTCATTGGCCTTTGATCGCGCCGATGGCAATCTGCACGCGTTGGTGTGGTTGAATTCTAAGGCCCGCCATACGCGGACAGACAGACATACAGGAGTTAGTATTGACAGCTTCAAAGACGTAGCACACTAATCAACCCGGAAAGGGATCGTAGCCGTATCAACTCGTGGCGGTCAGTATTCTTTGTATGAAACTCCATGCTGCAACGCACACTTATCCGCACCGTTTTAAAAGCCTCGCCTCGCGGTTGACAGCGCGCGAAAGGCGATGACAGCTCGCGAGAGGCGATACGGTGTTGATCCCTTTCCGAGTTGATAAGTCTGCTATGAGCTTCAAGCTGCGACTGCATAGAAAATTACAGTATTCTAGTTACACCATACAAGGAACTGCTGGAGCTGTTGTGACTGCTTCAAGCAGTTCGCAACAATATGTTTCAATTGACCACCACTGCAAGAAAAATTGCAGAAAATCCTTTGTTCAGCAGTGGACGTCTTTTGCTTCAATCTAACAGTCCTCACCAGAACGTCGGTCCACCTAGTGGAAGGCCTGTCCAGGCTACGTCTCCCGGCCCGTTGTCGCCACTGGCGGTGAAGGTCGCGGGAAGAGCCTGGATGCGGGCAGCGAAGAACCAGTCATTGTGGAAATCCTTGGGAAGCCTTCAGCAGTGGACGTCTCTTGCTTCAAACGAACAGTTCTCACGATATAAGAAGATACTTGGTTACGCGCCTGGATGCAGGCAGGGGTTGTTGTGGAAATCCTTGGGGAGGACTTTGTCCAGCACGGGACTATTCCCACCTCTCGTTTCCACCACTGCAACTCCTGTGTAGCCAGGATCGACAGCTTGACCGCCAAGAACATAGGAGGAGCAACAGTGGTTCTTTGTCCAGCAATGGATGTCTCTCTCTTGCTTGAATCCTTACGATGGAAGAAGATACTTAAGCTACAGAAAAAGGGGTCATTCTTGTGTACAGACTACAGAGAATCCGTATTAAGTGGTGCTAAGCTATTTATAAACTGAATGAATCAGCCGAGTGCAAGGGTATTGCCTACATTAGGTAATTGTGGGTACAAAAGAATTGTTAATTGATTTCATTGCGGTTGTGTATGGGCCAAGACATAAGCTGAGATTGAGATTTTCGAGAGTCGTACAGAATAGGGTGTGTTCCCACACTTCAACATCCTGTTTTTTGCAGGTTCCCGTTTAATAGTATACGTGTTTTAATTACTAACATTCACACGAATATCCCGTTTGCAGTGTCCCACAAAAACCGATCCGTTAGAATTTGTAAATACGGATTTGAGTGTTTACATTTTCACACTAAATTCAGTTTTGCGGGATCCTGCATAACTGGATTACCTTAGGAACAAGCCATAAGGTAGATAACACCTTAGTCTATTAAAATACTTTTTATGTCCTTTCACAGCGCGCTTCTCCAATTAATTTCGTACGGCAAAGAGGATTATGACGTCAAAAGTGTTAAAAAATAAGATATTTTTAATCTTGTGTGTGACGACACTGTACACATTGAAAAAACAAGCCTCTGCTTGTTAATAGTTACTACGGTGCCGCGGTGGAGCGTGTTATGTGACGTTACCCTCAGCTCATTCCAAACAACCTTTTAATATCG